CTTCTGATTAAAACAACCATTGTGATTGTGGTGAAACAGGGCTCTCAGGCAGCAACGCTCGCAAATGGCCTTTTATCACATCCTCTAGGGGCATCATGCTCTCCTTTTACTATGCTACCGCCCATGGCAGGATTCTGGCCTGTGGGCATTGGAAGGTAGCTATTTTCGCAACTTGGTTCGAGAGCATGCCGAACGGCATCAAGCTCACAATTTACATCTCCTGGAACGTATCCATATCTTGGATGGCTTATCAAACGTGCAGAAGGTCAATGTAGGTGCAGTGACTTGGACTCAGAGTGGTGCAGGGGACAGAGCTGATAATAAAAGCTTGCGAGGTGCGTTCGATCCGGAAACAACAGCCGGGCTGATTGATCCTTTGTTCTTGAACCCCCAAACTGGATAGTCAACTGTTTCATAGCCCCGTTTTAGACCCATACTTAGTATCAGTTGATCAGCTGTACCCCTCACCTTTCTTGGTGACCACCCTACTTCTGCTTTGGCCATACCCATCAACCAATTCATCTGTGCTTCCAAGGTGGCTTTGTTGGAGGAAAACTTTTCAGCAGGAACTCTGGTAGCTGCCGAGGGTGAGGAATGCCGGCGCTTGTATTTGGACGCTGGGCATTTATCAACCCTTGGTGGCGAAGGGCTCGAACCAAACAACCGTCCAACCGTTCAGCCAACCAGTCGAATCTAAAGGTCAAACTTCAAGACCCTCTATCACACTCTAACCATCAGGTCCATTCGCTTCCAGTCATTTTTGGTGGTCAACAGAAGACCGCAGTGGTCAACCATCCTTCTCTTATTGGGTAATGTGAACGCCCTTGACACATTGTTTGAGTATGTTTGAGTCATCCATGCTGAGCCGAGGTGAAGAATGGTGGTCTCAACTTCGTCCAGGGTGGTGAGCGCGATGGCACCCATTGGTGGGGCGGAGACGTCATCAAGGAGGCTGGCTTGGCTGGCTTGGCTGGGTCGCTGGGAAGATGATAGGCTTTAAAGTAGACGTGATTGGAAGACAAGACGAGAAACAGAGCAAAGCTTCATGAATCTTTCATTTTTCATTTGCTCTAATCATTCTAATCAGACCTTCAAAAAGCTTAGCAGGCCACTTTTTATGCAGCGGAATTGGATTCTTCCCGGCAAGATTTCCCAGGTCGGTGTCGGAGGCGTCTTTGGTGAAGACTACCTGCGGATCGATGCCTCGCATACCTTGGAGGTCACCGGGGCTGCCGTGGTGGAAATTGATGGTCATGCCAGTGGGTATCCAAAATGGGGTCATTTGCAAAAAGAGCACCAGAAACGTATTCGGTTGCAGTCTGTATACAGTTTCATGCTGCCAAAATTTTCACCAGAAGCGAATTTTGCCAGAAAGAACACAAGATGAGCACAAACTTTGCACCAGCAATGACCACCATTTCGACGAAAAAAATGTTGCACCAGAATTTTCTTCATTTTTTGATGCATTTTTTGGTGAAGTCTTGGTGCATATATATTTGGTTCTCCACAGGGCTATCCGAAAGTATATCCACAAGCTAATGTGCTGCAGGCGGGTAAACAGTTTTGACCTTTAAACCTTTAAACCATTGGGGCACAATGGAGTTGGGCAGAATCAGATTTGGGATTTTACCTGAATCCCGACAAGTATGCTGCTGTCAGATATTTGTCAGACGTTCTTCGTGCTTGTAATAGGGAGTAGAAGTTGATAACCAAGCTTTGGCAACATCAGCATGATCCCACCTTGCACCAAACAGGGCAACCTCGTGGCTGCTTGCGAAAGCACCGTGGTGTGTGTACTCATTGAAAAGCTGGCTGCACTTCTAGGCGCTGCCAGTGTGGTTTTTGCATTTGGGGTGAGAACGGAGCAGTTTCTGGATGGAACAAGTGAGGAATTGCAGAGCTTGTTGCTCAGCAGCTTGCTGCAAGGCTCTTGTCAAACGCTGACAGGATCCCAGTGTGCCGCCTTTGCGTCAGGTGAAAACGTGGCGTTGCAGTTAGAGAGGGCTTTCGTTCCTCGCAGATACAGGACTTTCAGTGGAGGGTTTTCCTGAGCTCCGGATGCAGCAGTCATGCCCCCGTCAAAATTCACGAGCCAACTCACATACTTGTAGTTTCCACAACATACAGGCCTTGCCTTTTGTCGAAATCCGGATGCAGGGTGCAACTTGCAGCTGAGGTTGGACTGTCCTTACGAAAAAAACCCTGGTTCGACAGTTTACCACGACCTCGGCAGCAGTCTATCATGAGCAACCAGGTGAGCAGTGCTTGAACCGTCGCTGGAGCCCTCCCAAGAAAGGAGATGTGGGTCCATTTCTTCCCAAGAAGGCTTTTCATCCTCTTCCTCAAGCGTCTATGATTGAATGTTTTTTTAAAAGATCATTCTACCAGAAGGGGGAAGTTTACACTCAACTCATCTCAACTCAACTTTATCAATTTTTCAATAGTCAACCATATTCAACTTGTCATCATTGTCCCCATTAAAATGTGTTTTTTGGGACTCCAACTATTCACCAGGTGAAGGTCATCAGTTGCGCGCCCGGGGATCCAGTGAAGGACCTCGAGAGGTGGGACTGTGGGTGAGACAGCCCAAAATTGGAGAAAATCAAGTTTTTTCAAGTTTTTAAGCCGTGAAATGGGAACAAAAAAAACCATTTTCTGGCAATACCGGCAATACCCATGATATCCCATGATGTATATTACCAGGTTTGAGGGACATTCTGGGTGATCCAGGGACTGCTTATCAACCAACCAGGCTCCGAACGAATGCAATGAGCGCAGTGCCGTTGACCCAAAGACCAACGAATACTCTACAATACTTTGGACATTGGGATGTCAAAATTCTCCACCCTCAAAAAATGGATGTCTTTATGATGTTTTACTGCTATGGCGGGTCATTTTTTTTGCCCACTAAGAATTTTGATCCGAGATGGTTACCAGCTCCACCCAATCTCTGCGAGGGTGAGCTCGATGCCGTACTATGCCCTGGTGCTGGAGGGAAGCTTCGTAGCTGGTGGACGAACGCTGCGACGTGGAGAGTGCTGCCAATCCCATGCTGTGGAAGGGCTCCAGCTCTTAGGTTGCAGTATCAGGTGGTGACACTGCAATTACATGATTTGATATGATTTGACAGCTAGCTAACATCCTGATTTTTATAGCTGCGTGCCACCTGCTTCAATAGAGAATGGCTTGAAATGTCCTAAAACTTACCCATGTTGGTGTAAATCTATGGCTTCGCCAGTGCGTTACACCTGGCTCAGCCTGTTCTTACCTGTGAGCCGAGGCTGTTCTGCAGCGCCAAGATGAGGCGCACCAGCACTGACGATGAGAAGTCCGAGCTGCAGCCGCATCATTTGGTGGCAGGTCCAGATCATGGCAGGCGGAAATCAAATAGACATGGCCAGGTCAGATGGAATGATCATTTTGTTTTAATATGTGTTTTAATGAGTAAACTTGAAAAAAAACCAATTATTGTAGATGAACTTGAAATGGTTGAGAGCAGATGGGTACCGCGACCCATCTATTTCTGCTATTTGCAAGAAGTATCCAACATTTGCAGAAAGCAAATTGGAGGCATCTCAAAAAGCTGCAGGCTGGCGCTAGTCTCACTTGAAGGTGTTGCCCAGTGTCTTTGCGGTGATTCCGATCTTCCTGCAGATATGATTCCCAGCAGCAGGGGGTACTTTCCACCCAAAGGAAGTCGGTACTTCTGACAGGCACCAATTACCATTTGTCACTCGGAAACCGGGGCTGGATCTGAGGACAGAACACATTTGCAAGGTGCTGATGATTATGAGGCTGCTGGTCATTGGTTAATATTGGTTACAAGTGTTGTGACATCCCTTGTCACTATGGGGAGTGATTGGGCCATGGGTGGTGCTAGTTTTCTTTCAGAGACTTTGAGTTGAAACTCATGTTGGTGCTTTCGGTAGACGTGTGGGTTGAAGTAGCGCCAAGACCAACACAAGAGAGGTACTGCACGTAAGATATCCAGAACTCTATGATTCAGTATCCCGAAGGAACCGCAACATAGATGTGTAGTCCATACTGTATATAGTATATATGTTGTACATAGTGACATAACGTCACATGTTGGGTAGTAAGCAGCAGTATACAGTTAATATATGCATATTACACATACATATTATTACATATTATATTATATTATATTCTATTACATTGTATTATATTATATTCTTATATTATAATATAATATATAATATATAATAATAATAATGATAATAATAAAAAATAATAATAGTAGTAATAATAATAATAAATAATATATAATATTATAATGTATTATATTATGTTATGTTATGTTATATTACATTATATTGTATTATATTATATTATTTTACATTGTATTATATTACATTATAATATATTATATAAAATTATGTTGCGTTATATTATATTATAATAATTTTTAATATATAATGTTATCTTTTGATATATTATATCATATTATGTTATGTTATATTGTATTATATTATAGCATATTATATTATATTATACTATATTATATTATATTATAATATATATATTATAATATATTATATAAGGTTATATTATGTTGTATTGTATTATATTTTATTATTTTGTATTGTATTATATTGTATTATACTGCATTATATTATATACTATTTTATTGTATCATATTATATCTTTGCATGTATCTTTTTTTTAGTTTCTAGACTGATGACACCATGCCATGTCAGCAGCTGAGATTGCCTTTGCTGAAGCGCCTAGCAGATTTTCAGATGTCAGCTGTGGCCAAAGCGCTGGTGACGTCTTCCAACTGGAAAGTCGGACGCTGGGAAGTGAGGACTTTCCAAGAACTGTGGGTTTCAATCGATTGGGGGTACTGCAGCAGGCACACAGTGGTGACGTATCGGGCTCAACTCAAACACCAAATGTAGAAGAGCGCTCAGCTCTGTTTTCACCGGTTGGACGCAGAGTCCAAAGTCAGCAGCCCATAGGTCGAGGCTGGGTCTAATCTATCAAAGAAAAGGGGCCCCTCCTGAGCCAAGCATTGCAGACAAGGGCCAGTGGTCGAACATGAAGTCGTAGTGGCGAACCTGACATGGATCAGTTGCACCAGCATAGAAAGAAAGATCAGGTTTGCCACTCAGGTAATCGTCGATCTGGTTGATCGCTGTCTTTCCTTCCTTTTTGTTCTTCTTTGAGGCAATGAACTGTGGATCATATTTCACAGCCCACAGCCATGTTTTGAGGAACTTCTGGAGGCCCACACGACAGTCTGGACGCTTCTTTGTCAGACTATCGCCCAAGTCATAGTCACTGGCTACCCAACGTAGCTTTGAGCCAGCACGCTGAAGATATTCTCGAAGTTGAAGAGCTTGGAGAGCAGAGCGAGTGTTGCTCAGGCCAAGGAGAGGACTCTCGTTGTAGAGCACTGCATCAAAACCACCTTTGCTGTCAGTGCAAAGAAGTCCTTCTACTTGTTTCACCATCTCTTCTGAGAATTCCACTTTGTTGGCATCGCGAGGACGAGAAAGTCCAGCACCATGAATTTCGCACCAGAGAAGTCGGGCGCGGAAATTCCAATCTTCACCTTCAAGTACTGCTTGAACTTCTGCGTCATTTGATCCAAGAGCTTTGCGACGAAGCTTCCAAGTTCGCCAGGCCAAAAGAGACATAGGACAAACTTCTCCTTTAAGAGCTTCAGGACCACTCATCAAAGTGATGATCCCACCAGTTGAATCACCTTTGTCTCGATTCGCATGCGCTTGGTCAGCCATTGTTATGAAGCAAACATCGCGCCAGGTCTTCGCAGTTTTGTGCTTGAAGAACTTGAGCTCATAGGATTCACGGCGAATTTCGCCAATCATACGTTGAATTTCCATGGCATAACTCATCTTCCCAAACTTAATGACTTCAGTGAGGAGGAGATTACAACGAGCACAAAGTTGTGGCTGAGTTTGTATTGCTAGCCATTGTAGTGCGCCAAGAGCACCACGGCAAGCTGCAATCTCATGAGAGGTCATTCGTGCATCTTCTTGTCGTAATCTATCTGCATAAATATCAAGGTCCGGCAGGGAGTCCACATAGTACTGCTGGTTGACGGTGATGACAAGGTCGCCATCGTTGTCACGTTTCACCTGAACATCAGTGCCAGCATGACGATATGCAGAGTGTTTGGCTGTTCCCCATCGGTACGCTGCATCTATTTTTCTGCAAACTTCGTTCCACTTTGCATTGTTTGAGTCACCAGTTCGGTGAAAGTCATCCACATGGCCGCCCATCATGCCAATGGTGAAGGGTTGCTTGGTCTCGGGGTCTTCATCATACCAAACCCAGAGACATCTTTCACCCAAGGCAGGATATCCGCCAAGTCCAGTGAGGGTCTTGTGCAGGTCGAGCCATAGTCCACGAGGAGCAGTAGTTCTACCGTAGATGTTACGCATGACTTTCATGATGCCATTGCTGTCCAACCCAAGTGCTGTGCGAAGTTCAGCTACACCATAAGTCCACAAGTTGGCATCTGCAGACGTAGGAGCCGTCTGAAGAAAAGCAGTTGCTAAATCCAAACCTTCAAGTTGCCACGAGTGTTGACAAGTGGCCTGGTAGAGCAAGTTGCGAGCCAACATAGACTGCACAGGTGAGGACGTTTTGTAGTCCACATTGCCAATCTCAGGATGTTCAAACCCTAGTAGCACAATTCGTGCCTTCGCCTTCTTGAGACCATCTGAAGTATGTGTTGTGGAAGGATTCGTTGAAGCATCTTGTCGCGCTTCATCTTGATCTTCAGGAGGCACAAGTTTCCAGGTTAACACCCAGCGAGCGCGGACAATGCGTCCACTGCCCATGGCTTCTCGAACTTCATCATTTCGGTGGCAGGCTTTTACTGCTTCATTCTTGAGGAAGCTGTCAATTTCTTTCCCCTTGGCACGTGCAAAAAGTTCACGATGTTGAGGAGACAATTTGCTGAGAACCACTTCAGAGTCACGCATCTTTTTGACCAGATACGCAGTGGGGCTTCTGAGGAAATTCTTGAACTGCCGGTTTGACACAAAGTCCAAGTCAAACTGCATGGAGAGGCAATCCAAGTCATTGTCAACAACCAGATGGTAAAAGTCCAAAAGTCCATCATCTGGCTGATGTAGTTCCTCCACCCATTTGAGGTCATACTGAGAGGAGTGTTGTTCCCTCAGCAGGGTTCTCATGTCTTTGTCATCGTTGATCTTTTGCTTCTTCGGGTCTGGTAGAGGTCGAGGAGAAACATCATAGTCGTTGACATCGCGCTCCAACAACTCTTCAAGGTCAGGAGAGTCAGAAGCCGCAGGTTCCAGTGCTGCAGGTTGAGAAGCACTGCCAGGTTCAGGTAGTAGTTCAACATCATCATCACCTGCTTTGGGCTTCCAGTCATCTGGAGTCAAGGATTTCTTGCCAACGATCTTGGAACGTGGTTGAAGTGCAGGATCAGAAAAAGTGACGCCTTTCTGGAAAACCTTCTTGGCCTTCTTGGCAACAGCTGCAGGCACAGCCGTTGATTCATCAGGTCGATCAGGTAGGTCTGGATGCTCACATTCATCTTCACCAGGAACCTGATCAGTGATGTCAAGGTATTCGCGCTGAGGTAGGACATCAGCCAAGGATTTCCATTTGGTGACGTCTTGTTTGTCACACACTTCAAAAGTGACACGCTCGGTGTCGGTGACCGGTCTCACCGAATGAGCACTGCATCGCAACAGTTGCGATCCCACCAACACCCATAGGATGTGTCTTCTCTCATCGCCTTCTTCTTGATGATGAAGAACTTCATGGAAAACAACACGTCCTGGGCCAATCCAGTGAGGCTTGATACTTCGTTGAAAACCACCACGTCAGCCAGGAGCAAGTAGGTGTGCAGGCCATTGTTTGCGCCAAACCATGACTAAGTCCATAGGTTCGAAAGTGCGCAAAGGCTGCTTCACGCTGGAGTTCTTGAACTTTGACATCGCACGTAGAGCTCGGGTAGGACGTGCAACTTCTTCAGCACCTTGTCGAGCTCGAACCAGGGCCTCATACTCAAAGTGCTTGGTGGTGTCCGGCAAGCTGGCAAAGGTTCTGATCTCTTCATCGGTTATGGTGTAGTCCTTGCCATAGCACCACTGAAAAGAGGAATAGCCCTTGGTATACTCAGTACTGTTGAGAGCCGCACACGCAAGTTGAAGAGAAACTCCAGGAGGAAGAGTTGGTTGTCCAAGTTGAATTGCAGAAGCCGTCATCTTCACATCTTTGATTGCTGATTCAACAAGTCCATGAGCCCATGATTCCTTCTCAGCCGGCAGGCTAAGTTGGATGCCCACATTGGTGAGGAACTCGTTCACGTCGGTGGCCGTGAAGACAGAGGAGTTGTCAGGCACAATAAGTCGGGGTTTCGGCTTATCGGCCAGCCACTTTTCAGCAATCGCCTTGATGACATCTTCAGAACTTTCGGACAACATTTGCGTAAGTCCATACGATTTCACCACATGCACCGCACGTAGTTTGGTGGCAAAGTCAATGAGCAAAATGAATTTGATCTTGATCTTCTGGTCGGGAACATGCCATTCGCTGGAATCAGCTCCAACGATTTCCCATGCCTTGCACAAAGGGTGCGTTGACGCCCTTGGTACTTCACCTGAGCTTTTGCTGCCTTGTAGAAGTCGATCACAAGCATCGCATCGAAAATCGCGGGCCATTTCAATCTTCCATTTGGGAAGTCCAGCATCTCGGAACAGGTGAATCAAGTTCCGATTTGATGGATGTCCTGCTGCACGATGGTAGTGCTGCAGTTTGACATGCCATTCTTTTCGTTCTTGTTCACTGACATCAGCGTCATGTTGAGGAGCTTCAAGTATAGAGGGTTCATAGCCGTCAGACAAATCACCATCATCAGGTACAGGAGGAAGAACTTCTTCAACAGGTAGAGCTTGAAGACGTTGAGTCCACTTCACATCACACTCTGCATGCTTGGAGTTCACCACAGCGTCAGGAGAAGTCAAGGCTTGTACATGACGTTGAGGAGCAAGTTGATTCTTCCAATGCCGCACAATTGCTTCCACCATCCGCACTGGATAGTATGCAGAGCGAGCTGTTTCAATCCCCTGTATGAGAGCATGTTGATGATTTCGAGGGCAAACCTTGCACTTGAAGTTGCGATGGAAGAGCTCATCATTGGTGCGAATCTCCCAGCGCTTGTGGATAAACGCTGAATCATCAGAGTTTCGCATCCCATAGTTGCATCCATCGATTCTGCAGCGCTCCCATGATTGGCCACGTTGCAAAAGTCCATGCTGCAGCGAGACCATAGGAGGCTGAGACCATCCAGAACATGGAAAAGTCCACTCCCAGTACACATCAATGTCTGGGTCGTCATCAACAGCATTGAGGATGAAGTCCTTGGCATAGTGCATCATTCGACGGTCTCGTCGACGAAGATCTTCGAGGACCGCCTTGCGCTCATCAGTGTTGTAGTTGACATTGGTCCATTGACACCAATGAGTGCACGGTAGTGAGAGCCAAAGTTTCTTGGGACGCTTGACTTTTCGCAGGCGTTCCATCTCCATCCATGCAGACTTCTTGTAGAGGTCAAAACCTTGTTTATAGTTGATCCTTCGGGCAGGTAGACCATGGTTGAGAGCCGCTTGAGTCAGCCAACTGTTGTCAGCACATGCAATCTCCCATAAACATTCACGTCCATCCATGGCGATCTTCAAGGCGAGGTGACTCATGGTTGTCGTCATCATCGTCACCATCTTCATGACCTTGGAGCCCATCGTAGTGGTCAAAGGTAGGCTCGAAGAAGTCATTGGCTTTCCTCGGTGAGGATGACTTCGTCGGGTGGTGTCATCCCCTTTCTTGCAAGCACCAGGTTGCGCAGGTCGATCTTTTCCTGCTCGGTCAGGAAGTCCTCCAAGTTGCGACGATCTGGTGAATCCAGAATCGGATCCCAGCTGCTGTCGGAAGGACTTGTCATCGGTGAGCTCTGGTCCATGTAGCCCATGGTGACAACCATCTTCTTCTCCACATTCTTTGAGGCTGCCTTGGACTTTGGAACCTTCAAGGAGTTCTCGACGTTGGGCTTTTCCAGCAGGTACTGAACTTTGTTGTTCAGCTTTTCCTCCGCGGTGATCTTGTCCAGCATGCATGTTGCGGTCACATCGAAAAAGTTTTCGCAACAGTTCTTCACGATCATGCTTGAGAGGAGAAGATGTAGTAGAGGAAGAGGAACATGACTGCTGAGTGGTATAAAAGTCAAGAGGACGAAACTGCAGAACAGGTTGTGCAAAAAGTGGATCAGCTCCAGCAACAACATTCACTTGTGCATGCCCTTCTGCTCTGGTTTGACCACGTGTGAGATAGTATAAAATATCGTACATATAGTGTTTCTTCGGATTGACTGGTAGTTGATATACTTCAGGATTATCATCAACGCCATCCATTGCTAAACCAGATCCAAAATCAACCAACATTTGACAACCATGTGCACCAAGATGATCCATGCCAATCAAAATAGGAACGAGCTGTGACTTGTCAAAGTTGGGCTGGTAAAACTCAATTGGATTTGGAAGCGCGTACAATGAAAACGTTTTCTTTTGACCAGACATCCGAACAAATTTCCAGTTTGTACCTAGCTCTGCCCCACTTCCCATTGCCGAAGCGAAAGTATGGCCGCTGCGCTGAGAAGATGTTCACAGTCGCCTGTCGATCGTGAGACAAAACAGCTATCACCAGCTCCTGTGCAGAAACTTCAGGTGCTGCAGAGGCAGTTGCTCCGCAGTCCAGCATGCCATGAGCTTGGGAAGCCAAAGAGCTAGAGCCAGTGCTGGTTGATGCCTTCGTCGTTGAGGCCAGTTCCATGCCATAGAGTGCGTAGGCATTCACGGGGTTCTTGTTAAAGCCCTTGCCATTGCCATCTTTCGAATGGTAAGGACTCTTGCCCTTCGAGCTCCAAAACATGCCCTTGCCCTTCCCAGAAAACTTGCCCTTGGGGTAGTTCCCATGACGTCTATCAGGACAATCCCTAACCAAATGGTTACCACCACAATTGAAACAACGACCATTGTTGACAGTGTTGACATGTCCAAAACCTCGATCACGTTTCAATTGTTGGGTTGTTTTCTGGGCCTCTTGCCAAGTGCGCCTTGCTTCGGCAGCTAACTGCTCAGCAACCTGTTCAGCTTGAAGAGCATCTTGAAGTCGCTCTTCCTCGTCGGGTGACAAGGTAGTCTGAACTTCCTTGGCAGAGGAGGTTTCGTCGGGCCATTCATGTTCATGCCATTCATCATGATATTGACCATCATTCCACCAACCATCATCGTTTCCCCAAGTCCACATCTCATCATAGTTAATCTCATAGCCATCATCCCATCCATCATCATGCCATTCATGCCATAGAGCATTGTTAGAACTTCCATGACGTCCAGCATGTTGTGAATATCGGTGGCCAAGCAACTGTTCGTCCCAAAGTGCAGACAAGGCTTGGCTGATGGCTTCGAAGTCCAATTTGTTTTGAGTAGTGGACAAAATGTCTCTAGTTTCTTCTGGGGTGAGGCTTGCAGCCTTCAACAAACGCCAACCACGTAGGACACCCATGATGAAGGAGTCTGCCAAAGAAACTTCTGAAACATCTTGGGGTATTTTGGGCTTTCCCGGATCACTTTCAGGTCCTGGCGCAGAATGCTCAGAGGCCGCACCAACTCGATGACTCGGTGAGGAGCCTGGAGCCGCACTTACAGGAGGTTCAGCGCCTTGCTCAGGAGAGGATGCAGCTGCCGCAGTAGCCGCAGGATCATGCTGATGTTCCGCATCACCAGTAGTGACATCCATGCCCCCCATATAGCCATACTCATAGTCATCATCCCACCAATCCCATTCAGAAATAGGTGGCAAACCAAAATTTCTTTCAGCAGGATCAATACCGGTCTGTTCTTCCCATAGCCGAATGAGAGCTTCAGAAAACTCTTCATATCCCAGGGTTTCACGGACCAAGAAATTTGCCATTGACTCACCAGGCTGTCGCCTAAATCCCAGGTATTGTTGAAGAATTGCAGCTGTATTTGGTAATGTCTTTCGAACCAGTGGAGAACCAGCTAACTTCTTCAAAAGATTCAGGGTACCGTCCGGAGAATCAAATTCTGTTCTTGACCATGACATAGCTAGAAGACGAGCAGGACCAGATAGTCTTGAAATCAATTTGGAGGCCACATATCTACGTTTTTTGGTGGGGGTCGATGCAACAAACCATGCAACCTCTTTTGTGTATCTACGCCAATTTTTCGCCTGTCCATCCCATGAAGGAACACTCTCATCACTGCGAGTCGCCATTGCTGCAAAATGCAGGCTTTGAGGCAAAAGTTGATCGTCAGGATCAAGTCAGTCTCCACTTCGCCTTCACGAAGTCAAACTCAAGGAAAAAGCGCTAAAATGAAAATGAAAGCTCGTGCAAAAAGAATCCAGGGTTGCCGTTCGGCAAAAGGTCCACCGCTGCAAGACACCGGCCAAGGTCACAAAGGCTAGGTCGGGTCGCAGCAAATAGTCAAGGTCCCGGAGCGTAGGTGCTCCGCTACCAATGCAGCAGACACACAGTGGCTACGTATCAGGCTCAACTCAAACACCAAATGTAAAAGAGCGCTCAGCTCTGTTTTCACCGGTTGGACGCAGAGTCCAAAGTCAGCAGCCCATAGGTCGAGGCTGGGTCTAATCTATCAAAGAAAAGGGGCCCCTCCTGAGCCAAGCATTGCAGACAAGGGCCAGTGGTCGAACATGAAGTCGTAGTGGCGAACCTGACATGGATCAGTTGCAGGTACCCCAAAATCATCATTTTTTTGCGGGGGGATTTTCCATACACCAACCATTTTGGGGATCTCCCATGGAAAACCCGAAATATGTCGGAAAAGTATGTCGGAAAAGACTTTCGGGAAATAACGTCCACTGTTGTGAACCTTTTAGGCACTCTTGTTGGCATTTTTTTTCACAGCGTATATTTTGTACTAAAGTTTTCTCTGAAAGGCACACTGTCCCGCAGATACCAAAAAACATGCCTCTGCCTCAGCACCTGCCAAGGAGAAGTGGTCTTTGATCAAGGCTCGGACAGACACAAAACCTGTACAACACGCTATGGTCTTATCACGTTGCCATTGTGGTACTGGCTCCAGGAGAAGAAGATGCAGACAAGTTCTACATCATAGTGAAAGGTGGAGTCCGTTGGTTGCTCAGGAACTTTCCGTTTGTTGCATGAACTCTCAGCGTTCTGGCCGTTCTTCTTGCTGTATTTCTGGGTGCCAAAATATGTGCATGCTGTATGCTTGCAAGCAAAAGTTGCATTAAGTGAGGTACAGGAAATGGCCTTCGCGTACCCAACTGTTTTCCGATCATCACCTGGAGCACACAGCATTTTATTGTGTTTAAACCTGCTGCACAAAGTTGTGTGCTCTAGGTTGTTAAGCGGTTATATGATTGACAATCTCAAATCTCGGAACTTCTTGGAGTCGGAACAAAATTGGGCACCGCTTTTGGATGCTCTTAGGATCCCATCCTTTTTTAGATCCCAGAATTGACGAGAAAATCTACAGGAAACGTCAGAAAAAAAAATCATGGTTTTTGCTCCTTCTCCATGGTTTCTTGTAATATCTACTGTATATCTATATCTATATCCATCTATATCTATATCTCTCTATATATATATATATATATGCACATATCATATATTTCCTTAAATAAAAACCATAATTTTTCCATTGATCCTCAGGTTTTTCAACCAGTTCCCAGGTGTGGATGTGGACGGCACCTTGCTCCGCGAGCTTCGTCGCGGCGCCTGCTTCGGAGAACGCGCCCTGCTGTTCAGCGAGCCACGCTCGGCCAAGGCGAGCGATTCGTTGAGGGAAGGCATCAGTTTTTTTTGGAGTTACTACGCCACCAGAAATTTGTGTTTTTTCACTTCAGTTTGCAAACATGAAATTTAGCTATAGTTAAAAAATAGCTATATAACAGTTCAACACGCTACTTTTTTGAACTATGGAATCCTGTGGAATTGGGAAATGGCCATATTTTATATGATCATCTTCCAGAGGGCATGGCAAAAATAGGGGACGTGTAATTGGAAAGAACTGGAGTTTACCATCAGTTTACCCTATTTCATATTATTTCATTGGGTTTGCCCCCAAAATTTCATCGAATTGGTAATGTTAATGGATACCATGATGATAAACCATGAGTTTCTTTTGTTGTGTACCTAGTTTTCAGACAAACCTAAGAGGCCAGGTCTGAAGGGTGCGCACCTTTCAACCCTATGTTTTTTACAGTTGCATGGTATAGTTATAGTCTTTTGTCGACTTTGGACGTTTGATTCCAAGCATCAATGACATTGTATGTAAACAATTTGCCTGGAATCATCCGACTGTTGGATAATCGGATAATCCCATTGACAGTGGATGTCCAACTATTCTTGTGATCGTTCGAAAAAAGCATCTATTGGGATTATCAAATCTTATAATAGTACCCAATGAGTATTGCGGATATTTTTTCAGCACCAAAAACGAGCAAAACAATGGGCGGCTTCGAGGTCACAGTCACAGAGCCTGAGACCCAGTTTTGGAGCGCTGACCGTAGCGTCTTCGAAAAGTACGTCACCAAGAACATGCGCGAAGTCGCTAGCCTCAGAGTTTGTCATTTGTCAACTGCCAAGTTTTTCTTATTTTCGGTTTGCTCAAAATTATCTTGACAGAAAGCGCGTCTAGAAACCTGATTCAAAAGTGCGGGAATTTAGCCTATTTTGATTTCAATCCGGACCGTTGTGGATTTCTGCCTTTTAAGCTGCCCAGGATTTGCGTGAACGTGCGAAACTCCAGGACTGGACTTTGTCCCTGAAAACGCTAAGGCGCCCAGCAGCATTGTGGTGACTCCAAAATTCCCGAGTTTCAGGGTCTCGAAGGAAAGCATCAGGGAACAGGGGAGTAATCATATTTCGAATGTGTGGCGCAGTATGGAATGGTAACGTTATTTTAGGGTTCAGAAGGATTTTGAAGAGCTGCTGACGCTTTGAAGCACATCAAACCGACTTGGGGTCCATGTCAAGATGCCTTTCGCATAGTTGGCATAGTTGACCCGTTGAAGGCACGTGCGGAGCATTGGTGTGGGTTCTTTTGGATCAGTGCGCATGGTGGAGCATGTGAAGACCGGTGCAAGCAGCTTGGATGGTTTGACGGGAGTTGAGGGATTTGAATTCCTCAGTTTTTTCTGACTTTGTATTGTCCATGATTTTGCTGGAGACATTGAATCATGGACTGTTAGAGGTTTCTTCAGTGGATGGTCAACATCTTATGTACAAAGTTTTCTGTGGAGATGATCAAAGTATCCAAGATTCCTGGGTGATGGGAGTTCTGATGCCTTTCAGCAAGGATATGCCCTCAAGCGCATCAAGAAAGAGAATGGGAAGGTGTGCTGGGCAGAGGGATCTTGTATCTTTGGGTTGAAGTCAAGTTGGTCCTCCCACCTCTTCAGTCCTGAACAAGTTAATTTCTTCAGTGAAGTGTGGCAAGAAGAACCCATTCAACTAGAAAATTAATCGCCATATGACTACTGCCCAGATAGTTTGTTTCCAACAACTGGATGCTTAAACAGCATTAAACAGCATTAAACAGCCCATTCTTTCAGTCGCATGATCTGGCGAGGTGCCAGAGGAGGTGCAAGAGGAATGCAAACTGCTGGCCACGGTGAGCCATCCCTTTGTGCTGCAAATGGTAAAATCCTTCGAGACACTTTGGATTGCACTGATTGAACTTGGAGCTGAAAAGGACATGAAACATGACATTTCCCATTAAAAAAGGAAAGTTTTGGGTGATTGCAGAACTTGAAGCTGAAGCGACATAAAGAAAGTGAAGAAGTCTTCTAGCTTCTTATGGAAGGTGCCGCTTAGTATTTGGCCATGGCCAGACGCAAGCTGCAAGCCGCTTTTGAAAGTCATTGGGTTTTTCAATACAATGGAGTCAGTCATTGGTGTACCACACATCTTCGCAATCAATGTATCCATGCATTGTTTTGGTGACTTGATTGACGTCCAGATCAGGACTGAGAAGGGGATTTACATTCTCACGGAACTGATCACTGGCGGGCAGCTTTATGAGCAGATGAGGGACACCAGGGGCGGAGGGAAGATGTCCTTCCACTGTGCCCCACTGACAAACTCTTGCATGACAACATTTTCACAGTGCGTCAATCGTGGACTTTTCAGCTTGACAGGACAAGATGGGCGCTGTGAGCCGGCGCCATGCACAGTTCCTGGACTCCAATGTGTGTGCATTTGGTATTGGTTCCCATGCGTGGGGTCTGATCGAGCCTGTGTGCCGATTGTTGATGTCACAGCACGTGAAAGCTGTTCTTAGAATTCAGACATTTGCCCAACATTCAGCTTAGTTCTGGAGTCTGTGCCTTTGAGTCCTGCCCAAGTCCACACGATTGATTTTCCAAAGTGATGGTCTTGCTTTCACATGCCTTGACTTTCCCAAGATGTCACTGTATTTCTAACATGGTAAAATGGGGAGAAAGCCAGCAGAATCTCGTGAAATTTGGCGATTCGGCGATTCGGATTTGATGAATCAAGGTTTTACATTGGCTCCCTAGTGCTCATCCTGGAAGCCCTGCACATTGCGGGCGTTGCTTACAGAGACCTCAAACCAGAAGCTAGGCCCATTGTGCGCATTGTGCACCTCTCAAGGATCTTTCCCCGATCTGTGCAACACGCCTGCTTGATACATTGTGGATACGATACAGATGCACCATCTAATTAGGAGCCTCACCAATGGTCAGTCTCGGCTTTGTTTTTCGCTTCCTGTTACAGCTTTCTCCCTGTTTTCGGCCATGGACAATAATGCCTAGGAGAATGTGATGCTGGATTCTCAGGGATACTTGAAATTGGTGGACTTTGGCTTGGCCAAAGATCTTATGGATGGAAGTAAGACCTTCACCGTGGTTGGAACCGTTTCTTGGTTTGCACGCTGCTGGCT